GCCAGTGATGGGGAGCGGCTGCAAATACAGATGAACCTTCACTCACTTGCCCACTGCTCACCTCCTGCTGTTCGGCCTGGTTCCTAACAGGCCACAGACAGGTACTGGTCCGTGGCCTGGGGTTTGGGGACTTCTGCATTAGGGGAACTGTTAGGAGGACTTGCTGACCTCAGGAGTACCCAAGGTGCTTTTATCTTTGTGACCTTTGATCTCTCAGGGTCACTAAGATGGAGCAAGGACCAGTTCCTCTGGCAAAGCCAAGGCCCAGAGTGGTGGGCGAGAGGCAGTTCTTCCCCACTGCTCCTCACCTCTCTCCATCTCCTCCCCTCTCACCCCCAAGTCTGGTCACACAGCGAGCCTGCAGTTTTCAAGGTAGCTTGTCAAGGACATCCCCTGACTTGCACGTTCACCTCCTGACCTTGTTCCTGCTGTAAATTTGTGAATTAAGTGGGGACATAGACATATGCAGAGACTACTGGTGGCAGTACTAGCCTTGTATTTCAGTAGAATATATTTGGTTCATTTCCTTCTTCCCAGTCTCCCTGAGTGATGGTTCCAGAACCCAGCCCCCTGCACTCCAGCTTTTCCAAGGTGGAGAAATTGGCGTGTAGGCAGCTGATGTGAACAAGGACTGGTGGCTCTGTATTTTCTCCCTGGGTTGAAGAGTCACCGTGTCCTGTTCCTCCCACTACTGTGGGGCTCCAGCTGTGGAGCCAAGGCTACCACTGAAGCTGTCTCCACTGGGGCTTCTCACCCAGCCAGCCACCATCTCACCCCAGATGTCACTGTCCTGATCATCTCTGTTGTCCGGCCCTGTAACCTGTTTCCATGTTTCTCTAAGTTCCCACCCTCTCTGTCCAATCCAGATGATCACAGCTGGCATCTTCCCCATGCTCTTCACTCAGGCAGTCACGAACGCCATCTCCAGGCAGTTTCATTTTGCCTCCCCTTGTGGCCCCTGCCCTTTGTACCCAAAACAAAGAGAGGCAGTCGGCTGTCCCTGGCACAGAGTTTGTGCTGCCTGGGCCCTGCCTCTCTGCCTGCCTCAGAGTCTGGGCTGAAGAATGGGCCCTGGGAGGGAGACTGGATTTCTTTGATTCTGAGCCCCATGTTTTCCACGTGTGACATTTCTGAAGTCAGGACATGTCTCAGAATCAATGGCACCTCCAGTATGGGAGTCTTCCTTGTAGTGTCTCAGAATGGCTTTTAGGTGAGAAAATAAAGTGATAAGGAGAAAATGGTAAGAGGATTGGGCCCCTTTCAGCAGTGAGCCAGGCTTCTTGTATGCCGCGGGTCTCGTGGGCACGTCATGGACTGAGTTAATTCCCTTCGAGGTCTGGTTCTGCCAGGATGAGGAAGACCCGTTGCTAACCCTTACAGGAGCTCACAGTGCAGGGAATGAGGGATGAGCCAGGCCCGGCAGGAACCCATGTGGCCCTGGGAGCCTGTGGATCTGCTCCATTCCGCGCACACTGACTTTCCTCACCACTCTTACCAGTCTTAAAAGAACACAGCCTGCAGCAGTACCTTTGCATTCCTCCATAGGCAAAGATTTCCAGGAAAACCAGAGGAAATGATAGCATATTGGGTGCCTTCTGCCTTGGTCTGATTTATTTTAAAATCTGAGCCTTCAGTAATGGCTGCCTGAGCCCCCAGCCCAGCCACTGCTCTTGGCCTGTTAGCGTCCTGGTGCGGGGAACAGAGGCGCTGTGAACCCCACCTGCTAACCCTGATGGCCCTGCCTGCCCCACCACAGCTGGAGCTGGCCACAGCCAAGAACGACATGAACCGGCACCTGCATGAGTACATGGAGATGTGTAGCATGAAGCGCGGCCTGGACGTGCAGATGGAGACCTGCCGCCGGCTCATCACCCAGTCCGGAGACCGGTAGGCGCCTCCCCTGGGCATGGGGCCTTCCGAGGGGATGCAGCGGGGAGAAAGGTTGGAACACAGCCCCAAAGACCCTCAGGCAGTGACTGGGTCACATCTTGCTGTGGGGCTGCCCTTTGGGAGTCACCTGGTGTGGCTGTCCCAGACCCACAGCTCTCTCCCTTGGCAGTTGGAAGACGCTGTGTCCATTCATGGCGGGAGGACTGAAACTTCCCAAGGCCACCAGCTCTGGTTAGAGACAGTTTAAAAACTGGCAAGGAACAGAAGGGTTGTGGGGGCAGATTTTTATCTAACGTCAGGGCCATGATTTATGCATTTGACCCCGTGTAAGTTACACCGCAACAAGAAAGCGAATTTTTAAAAATCACAAAAATACTGCAGATAGACATAAATCCAAGGCCCTAGAGTCAGGGTGCTGGAGGCTCAGCAGCTTCTCTCCTCCTGTGACTTCAGCTAGTTCGTTCTTTTTTTTTTTTTTTTTTTTTTTTGCTCACTACAACCCCTGCCTCCTGGGTTCAAGGGATTATCTTGCCTCATGCTCCCAAGTAGCTGGGATTACAGGCGCCTACCACCACCACACCTGGCTAATTTTTGCATATTTAGTAGAGATGGGGTCTCACCATGTTGGCCAGGCTCACCTTGAACTCCTGACGTCGTGATCCACCCGCCTTGGCCTCCCAAAGTGCTGGAATTACAGGCGTGAGCCATCGTGCCTGACCTCAGCCTCAGTTCCCAAGACACAGGCGGGGCCCATTTCCCTGTCAGGGTGGGGTTGGAGAGAGTTCAGTCCCTGCCGCTCCCTCGCCATCCCGCGGCCCTGCCCTCGCTTCCGGTACTCCTCACCTGCTGCCAGAGGATGAGGCGGCAGGAAGAGGAGTGCCGTCTTCAGGATTCCTGCCTGCCCAAGGTTGACGACTGGTGTTTTTCTCTAGAAAGTCTCCTGCTTTCGCTGCGGTCCCGCTTAGCGACCCGCCGCCGCCGCCAAGCGAGGCTGAGGACTCCGATCGCGATGTCTCATCTGATAGCTCCATGAGATAGAGACCTGCCTCTCCCTTGCACCCGAGGCCCTCGCAGCTGGGAACTCAGCAAGGCAGAGGGTGGGGCTGCACCGAGGGGAGCATCAGCTGCAGCGCTGCACCAGGCCTGGCCCCTGGGGACGGGCGCTCCTCCCTCGGGCTTCCTCCCTCGGCCTTGGCTTCTCCGGGGCTCTGGGGTGTCTGGAGCTAGGCTTGGCCCTACCATTCTGGGGCCATTTCCACCACAGTTGGGGCTCTCCGGCCTTCACGCGTGGGTGTCTGCTACTTCTCCATCTTTAAAATGCTGCCAGAGCGATTGCGGCCCCTCACCTTGTCCACGTATCAGGAATGTGAATGTGGGACCTTTCCTTCATGCCTGTTGTCCGGAGCCAGCTCACTGTCTTCCGCACTGGTGCTGACTGGCCCAGGCACTGGCGTGGAATAGAACGCCACTGGAGGCTACACATGGCCTCTGCAGCACACGCAGTTGGAGAGGGCTTCTGTCCCTGTCAGCGGCGGAGGGCGTGGGGGCTGGCCGGGGCACTTTGTCCCTGCTTTGGTCCACATGCTCACGCTGTCCACCTGCTGGGTGGAGTGTGTGTGGCTGTGGCCCTCCCTCGTGGATGTGCCGTGCTTTAAAGACGCCTTAGTGCCCGGGATGGGCACAGTATTTTGAAGGGAGGTGGGAGCTCTTGCTCTCCTGGTCACTGCAGAATGACAGAGAAGGTGAAGCTCCGGGCATGCGTGCGCGGGTGTATGTGCGCTCAGGGTCTCTGTTTAAGTATTAGCTAAACATGTGCCTCCTCCATATTTGTCATACTCTGAGACCAACAGGCTACAGTGTCCCTGATTCTTGGAAAAGCCTGGAGAAACGGGGGAGATGCAATTCACAATGCCTTGGTATAGGAGGCTGTGTTGAGCTGACATTCAAATGGATTCTTTAATAATAATGAAACTGGCGAGTATTTAATGTGCACTTTGGTGTCACTGTCTCAAGCACTTCCTAATATTCACTAGTTTGAACTCTGAGGTAGGTACTTTTTTTTTTTTTTGAGATGGAGCCTCATACTCTTGCCCAGGCTGGAGTGCAGTGGTGTGGTCTCAGCTCACTGCAGCCTCCACCTCCCGGGTTCAAGCGATTCTCCTGCTTCAGCACGCCTGTAGCTGGGACTGTAGGTGTGCGCCATCACTCCCGGCTAATTTTTGTAGTTTTAGTAGAAACGGGGTTTCACCGTGTTGGCCAGGCTGGTCTCAAACTCCTGACCTCAGGTGAGCCGCCCACCTTGGCCTCCCAAAGTGCTGGGATTACAGGTGTGTGCTCTACCGAGGTATGTACTTTTGTCTCACTAGGTAAATCCACGTGCAAAGTGAGGCCCCGGAGTAACTGCCCAAAGCAATCAAGCCTTTCAGTGGCAGAGCCAGGGGTCTGGACCTAGGTCCCAGCGACACGCCTTGCCCCTTCCCAAGCTCCCTTAAAGGTGATGATGGAAAGTCACCCTGACCCATCTCTTCTCAGAACCGTGCGAGGTGGGCGTTCACTTCACCGACTTTTAAAGATTCTATAGCGCTGCCCGTCTTGGGCATGGTTTTAGGTTCATTTACCTAGATGAATCCTCCTGAAGACCTTAGGGGCTGGCCACAGTGACGTCCTCAGCTAAGACAGGCGGGCACAGAAAGCAAGAGTCCTTGCTCAAGACCTCACAGCTGCGGAGGCCAAGCTGGAATGACCCGCGCAGCCCAGCTCCAGGCTGAGGTCTACTAACCAGTCACCAGCCCAGTGTGAACCCCGACTTCCTCCGCCAGTCACCCTCCCTGGGGCTGCCCACAGAACAGCTTCTTCCATGTTTGGCCAACAGCAGATAGCCTAGGACTGGAGCAAGGACAGGAAAAGGCCTTGTTCTCCAAGTAGTGGAGCTAGCTTTCTGTAGCACTCAGTCTGAGCAGGAAGCAAATGGCAAGCAAGGCTGTTGGGAGGCCCTACCCTCAATCTGAGGGGAACCTACCAGGTCCCTCCCAGCAAGACTGTCTCACCTTGACACAGCCCAGCTTCCCTTCCCTCCGCCCTAGACCCTAGGATAAGACAGGACAAAGAACTGGCTGAGCACAGGGGATTTTATTGATGGTACACGACAAGGTGGGGCTCCCTAGGCCCCTCCCCTCTTCAAGGGGTCTACATGGAAACTGTGAGGGGAGATTCAGTGTGGCGGGGGACTGAGTGTGGCAGGGACTCCCCAGCAGTGAGGGCCTCTCTCTTCCTCTTGTGCTCTCGCTGGGGCTGGTGGTCCAGGGGTCTTACTCCTTGGAGGCCATGTGGGCCATGAGGTCCACCACCCTGTTGCTGTAGCCAAATTCGTTGTCATACCTAGAAGATGAAAAGAGTCGTTAGGGCCCTTTTTCTGAGCCAGTCACCAGAGGGCGCCAGACTCTGCACCACTTTTTAAGAGCCTGTCTCTGGCCCCAGCCACATACCAGGAAATGAGCTTGACAAAGTGGTCGTTGAGGGCAATGCCAGCCCCAGCGTCGAAGGTGGAAGAGTGGGTGTCGCTGTTGAAGTCAGAGGAGACCACCTGGTGCTCAGTGTAGCCCAGGATGCCCTTGAGGGGGCCCTCCGACGCCTGCTTCACCACCTTCTTGATGTCATCGTATTTGGCAGGTTTTTCCAGACGGCAGGTCAGGTCCACCACTGACACGTTGGCAGTGGGGACACGGAAGGCCATGCCAGTGAGCTTCCCGTTCAGCTCAGGGATGACCTTGCCCACAGCCTTGGCAGCGCCAGTAGAGGCAGGGATGATGTTCTGGAGAGCTCCGCGGCCATCACGCCACAGTTTGCCGGAGGGGCCATCCACAGTCTTCTGGGTGGCAGTGATGGCGTGGACTGTGGTCTGGAAAAGGAGGGAGTGAGGCCCTGCAGAGTGCTCCCCACATCACCACCCCTCTACCTCCCTCCCCACCTTGAAAGGAAATTATGGGAGAGCCAGTTCCCAGAACCCCCAACCCGCAGGGTTGCATGCAGCCCTGGCAGGGAGGAGCCAGTCCTGGATGAGAAAGGCAGGAGCTTCAGTCCCATTCCCCAGCTCTCATACCATGAGTCCTTCCACGATACCAAAGTTGTCATGGATGACCTTGGCCAGGGGTGCTAAGCAGTTGGTGGTGCAGGAGGCGTTGCTGCAAACAAAGAGGGGGCGCAAGTTAGGGGAGCGTGTCCACAGGGTGCCAGGCTGGCCGCTTCTCCACCAGCCCTGCCTTCCTCACCTGACGATCTTGAGGCTGTTGTCATACTTCTCATGGTTCACACCCATGACAAACATAGGGGCGTCAGCAGAGGGGGCAGAGATGATGACCCTTTTGGCTCCCCCCTGCAAATGAGCCTAAGGCAGAGAAGTAGACAGTTATAAACCCGGGTTCTGCCTCTGCAGGGCTCAGCCAGCTTCCCCTACCGCAGGCCCTCCTGTACTCACCCCAGCCTTCTCCGTGGTGGTGAAGACGCCAGTGGACTCCACGACGTACTCAGCGCCAGCATCGCCCCACTTGATTTTGGAGGGATCTCGTCTATGGGGTGGGGGAGACAGGGATAGGACATATTGAGGGACAGGAGGTTACCATGTATCCAAGGGAGCCGCACCACCCTAGCTGCCCCCCACAGCACATTTCTCCCACTGCCTTCCACTCACTCCTGGAAGATGGTGATGGGGCTTCCATTGATGACAAGCTTCCCGTTCTCAGCCTTCACGGTGCCATGGAACTTGCCATGGGTGGAATCATACTGGAACATGTAAACCTGGGGGAATACGCGAGGGTGTGAAGGGGCTGCCTGGCAGCCAGGTGGCTCCTCCCACACCAGCTTTGGGGCAGCACTCACCATGTAGTTGAGGTCAATAAAGGGGTCATTGATGGCAACAATATCCACTTTACCAGAGTTAAAAGCAGCCCTGGTGACCAGGCGCCCAATACGACCAAATCTAAGAGACAAGAGACAAGAAGGCATGAGGAGGGGAGGCTCCTCCACAGTATGTGAGCTGCCCTAGGACACCTCCCCATTAAGAGGGCGAATGCAGCATCTCCTTACCCCCAGGAGGGCCCAAGAGGTCGAATTGTATCTCCCTTGAGCTCCCCTGCCAGGCTGGCCTGGCTTTACAGCATGGCTGCAACTGAAGGCTCCACTGCTGCCTAACAGCCCCCGTCATAGGAAGCCCTTCCAGGAGAAGCGGCCACGTGGGGCACTGCCACCCACAGTCTGGGCACAAGCTTTGCACATGGCATTCAGCACCCCACTATGCTACCCAGGAATGCTTGCTGCTGCCTGGCTCAGCTTCCAACTCAGCATCACCAAACTCAAAGGGCAGGAGTAAAGGTCAGAAATTAATTGGACCGGGCAAGCCCACCCCTTTTCTCTAAGTCCCGCCTACAAAAGGGACAGAGATTGGGCCGGGGGAAGAGGGGAAGTTGTTTTTTAACCCCCTAGTCCCAGGGCTTTAATTTGCAAGCTTCCAGTCCTTTCCTAGCTCTTTTCCAGAATTCAGGAGTGGGAGCACAGGTGTGTGTATGTGTGTGGGAGAAGGGATGGGAGACGGCCCAAGCCCAGGCCCCCAGTTACAGAAAGGTCAGCAGCTATATTTATCCTCAGACCGGGGTGCGGTGGGAGATCTGGTTTCTGGAAGACGGAATGGGGAGAAGGGCAGGTTTCCCGAGGCTCCCAGACACCCAATCCTCCCGGTGACATTTACAGCCTGGCCTTTGGGGTGGGGTCAACGCTAGGCTGGCAGGGGAAGAGGGGGGCCATAAGGTGAGCCGCCGCTGCAGGAAGGGGCCACCGCCAGAGGGGCCATTTTGCGGTGGAAATGTCCTTTTCCAACTACCGATGACTCAGCTCCCCCCGGCTTGGCACCAAGCCACAGCCACCACACCTCTGGAGGGAGGGAACACAGGAGGACCTCCATAAACCCACTTCTTTGATTTACCAGAGAATTATCTAGAAAAAGCATCTCCCGAAGGAGAAATCGGGCTTGCGGCTCAGGGGCCGACTTGAGAGCAGGGGCCGGGAAGCCTAGCTCCACCTGACTTCCCCGCCACACGCGACTCCACCCACCGAGGCAGGAGCGCAGGGTTAGTCACCGGCAGGGTTTCCTAACGGCGGCCCATTCATTTCCTTCCCGGTTGCAACATGGCGGCCGCTCTACCGCACCCGCTGCGCACTAGCATCCCGGGGCCTGCGGTGCCGGAGGCCATGGGGGAGGGGCTCCTCTGCGACACGTGACCTCGCAGAGCGCGAAAGGAAAGAAAGCGTCCCCGGCTAGGGGTCTGGTCGGATGGAATCTCGGGCGGGAGTAGGGACCTCCTGTTCCTGGGGACTAGGGAAGGAAGGCTCCGGGCAGATGGCGCCGCAAGGGCGGAGCTGCACAGGGCGCCACAGCTGAGTGCGGGGCTCCGCCAGGTCCGAGCGCTGACCTTGAGCTCTCCTTGCCGGGCACAGCTACCCTACCCCCATACGACAGCAAAGACCCGGAGCCCGCAAGGCTCGTAGACGCAGTTCGTGGGCGGCCCAGGGCCCCCAGCCACCCACGAACTCACCCGTTGACTCCGACCTTCACCTTCCCCATGGTGTCTCAGGGATGCGCTGCGCGGAGAGAGAGAACGGTGAGCGCCTAGTGGTCCCGGTCGACACCCACGCCTCGCCTCCCCTCCCCTCCCCTCCCCTCCCCCCACCAGCCTCCATGCCCAGCCCGCGCCGCATCACGTCCTCCGCCCGCCCCTGCAATGCGGAGGCAGCCCGGGCCCGGACCCGCGCCCACCCCGCAGCGGCGCGAACACGTCCGGCCCGCGCCCGCCCCTGCCGCCTTCAGGCCCGTCCCTAGCCTCCCGGGCTCCTCTCCGCCCGTCTTCACCTGGCGATGCAAGAGAAGACGCGGCTGACTCTCGAACCGGAGAAGCAGAGAGCGCAGGGGGAGGCTGCGGGCTCAATTTATAGAAACCGGGGGGCGCGGCGGCAGGCGGTGACTCTGACCCCGCCTCCCGCCGGGCTCAGCCAGTCCCAGCCCAAGGACTTGAGGCCTGAGCTACGTGCGCCCGTAAAACCGCGAGTAGCCGGGCCCTACTCTCTCTTTGCTCTTTTTTTTTTTTTCCCGCAGCCGCCTAGTTCAACTGGGCACGCATCAAGCGTGTGGGCCCCGACGGAGAGGGGAAGGGACTGAGACTGGCCCGATGGGAGGTCATCGGTGCTGGTTCCCAGGACTGGAGTGTGGGCAGCAGGAGACTAGGGAGTCAAGGACGGGGGCCCTTACACGCACGGATGAAACAGGACTTTGGGAGCGACTGAGATGGGGAATTGGAGCCGGAGCCCAGCACGGCTCGCGGCTGCACGCGGCCTGCCCCCTCCCCTTTCTTTCAAAGGCTGAGAGGCGGGAAAGTTGGGGAACTTCTCCTCGAGGCTCTGCGGTAGTGACACCGGAATAGCTGAGGCAAAGAGCTAGGAGGGGCCCGTGGGCCCTTCCCAGCCCCCACTTCCCCCTCCCCATCTCCTGGCTCCTGGCCTCTCTGGGACCGAGGCCTGGGCTGGGCACTGGGCAGTGGGGGCCTGGAGAGGAAGGAGGCTCGGGAGGCGGCTTGAGGGGGAGGTTTCTGCACGGAAGGTCACGATGTCCTGCAGCCCTGTAGCCTGGACCTGATGATTAGGGCAGACAATCCAGGCCCTGTGAGCACCAGCGGCTCTCCCCGGGCTGGGGCCCCAGGCGGAGGACAGGATGGCTGGTGGGGGCCCAGAGGCCTCCCACAAAGTCACTCCTGGAGACTCGTGGGCTGTGCTGCCTAGGGTGAGAGACAGTGCGCCTTTCACTCCATCCAGCCCGGGGCGAAGAGCGGGACGTGAGGGCGGAAGTCCCTCCCCGCCCTGGGACGTGCAGGCGAGCCAGGAGCCAGGGACTCCCCTTCACTGGCTTCGCTGGGGGATATTGAGGGCAGGGTGAGTCAAGAAGAGGGAAAAAGTGGGAAAAGAGGTCTTGGCCACATGGTGGGAACAGGCCCCCTGCGCCTTCCCACAGCGTATCCATTTCTCTGGTAGGAGGGCAGAGGGCCAGGTTTGTGAGTGTGAGATGGGAGCGTGCTGAACACTTGTAAGGAAGGGGGTGGGGTGGGGTGGCCTTGGCCCATCAGCAGCTGCATGGGAGGGGGATCCTGGGCCTCTTTGCTGGCCCAGCATAACCTGACGCCAGCCCCTGCCCTTCTAGCTGAAAGCCGTTTGCTAAGTTTAGCCCGCCTGGTGATAATCTTTGCTTAAAAGGCACCCACAGGACTCCAGTCCTTGTCCCTGCCTTTCTGGGATTGCCTTTCCTCCTGGGACCCAGAACCAGGCTGTGTCCTCGTCTGGCTGCCACTGGCATGGTTGGTGCGGGCTTTTCACAATGACCACCCAGAGCAGAGTAGCAAGAGCAAGGCGAGAGGGTCCTTAATGGTGGAAGGGTGGGGTGGGGGAGTGGAGGAAGCCCCACCTCTGACTCAGCTATTCCTGCAACCAGGACCATTAACCCTTTCCCATCCAGAGCGTTAAGAGCACCTCCATGCTCCTGCACCACCCAAGCGTGATTTGGGGGCGCCATCTTCCCCTCTGCCTCAAGCTTGTCATTTTTCATTACTGTCTTCTCCCCGCTAAGAGGGAGCTCGTGCCCAGGGAGCACTACTGACGTAGTGTGCTGTTGTCATGACAGCAGAGGCACCAGTGTGGTCACGACAGCCAGCTCACAGCCTCCGGTTCTAAGGTGACTCAGCAGAGAAGACTTGAGGAGCTGGAGAGGGGTGGGCAGGCTTCAGGGGCGGCCCGCCTGCAGCATAGCCCGCGCCCCCTGCAGACCTGGGAACAGTGAGGAATGCGGGAGACAGACCTTGTCTCCTGCAGAGCTGGAGGGGATCATGACCTGACCTGCCACCAGCCTGGCCCAGTCCGCTGCCAGCCTTTGGAGATGGGATTAGGGAACACGAGTGGGGGTGGGGTGAGGCACACAAAGGAAAGCAACCCTTGGTCTAGAGCAGGTTTTCTCAACTGTGACACTATTGACATTCTGGGCTGTGTAATTCTTTGTTGAGGGGCTGCCCTGCGCACTGTAGGCTGTTTAGCAACATCCCTGGCCTCCGCCCACCAATGCTGGTAGCATTCTTCCCCCACAAGCTATGACAAGAGAAGAGGCCCCAGGTGTTGTCACATGTCCTCTGGCAGGCAAAATCGCCCCCGTTCAGAAGCGCTGATCTGGAGCCGAGGCACTGCATAATTCTCCCGAGGCTGGCTGGTCACTGTGCAGGGTCCGGAGGTTGAGAGGGGAAAGGTGGCAGTGACAGGGCAGGAAGCTCATCTGCCATCCTGGGACAGGCCCTAGTTCTCTGGGCTCACTCATCTCTCTCTGCACTGATAACCCTCTCTCTGCTGCATGAATCTGGGCTAATGTGAAAGATGAAACAAAGACAAGCTTAGGAAAAAATGTCTAAAAGTATATAAAAACATTTATTCATTAGAAAACAAGGAGATTGACAAACATACTCCAAAGTGAAAGCAGCTCAATGCAGTTCAATTAGGCTAATTTAAGAGAAAGGCCTTGCATTTTAAAGATCGTGTATGTACTTTTTTTTTTGAGACGGAGTTTCACTCTTGTTGCCCAGGCTGGAGTGCAGTAGGGTGATCTCGGCTCACTGCAACCTCTGCCTCCCAGGTTCAAGCGATTCTCCTGCCTCACCCTCCCGAGTAGCTGGGATTACAGGTGCCCGCCATCACGCCTGGCTAATTTTTAATTTTTAGTAGAGACAGGGTTTCTCCATGTTGGTCAGGCTCGAACTCACTCCCGACCTCAGGTGATTCACCCGCCTCGGTGTCCCAAAGTGCTGGGATTACAGGCGTGAGTCACTGCGCCCGGCCGGTTTTTTTTGTTTGTTTGTTTTTTTTTAAAGACAGACAAATATTTTACAAGGGTAACAATTAGAATTCCAGGCCACCCTACAAGTCCTAGGGTCTGCGCCGGTGGGGAGCGCGCTTCCTAGGGTCTGCGCCTGCGAGCCGATGCTCTGAGAATGGGGGTGGTTTTCTTGGGTGTCTCGTCTTCTGTCATCTCTGCTGAAAGATCTATGCAAAGAATTAGAGGAATAAGAAAAAGCTGAGTCACAAAGATGGTGAAAAATAGAAATGAGAGAACAAGTGGGACAATCCCACACCACCCTGCAGAAATAAAATCCAAGCTGTATAGGAGAGGCCCTTTGGGGCAGTGGGCAGGGCATCTACACTCAGGCCCCCACAGCAGGTCCCGTGGAAACCCGCCCTCCGCACCCTGGCTGTGCGCCTTCTGGGCCGGGGACAGGCGGGAGCATCATACCTTCCTCACTGGACTCGTCACTTGAGAAGACAACTTTGGGTTTCTTTTTGGAAGCTCGCTGCTGGGTGTTTGGATGCCGACGAGTAGTACGGCGGGGCTCTGGTGTGACAAAGTCATTGTCTGAGGCTGTAGAAGCCAGAGGTTGGTGCCTAGAAACTAGAAGAGGCAGGAAAATGTGATTTAAAAAAGAAGAAGAAACAAATCACTGCAGGAGGGGAAGGCGCAGTCTGGTCCCGCCAGTACAGCCTGCCTCACGCACCAGTGGATGGTCTCTTGGCTGCTGGGGCTCTCTGGCTACCTGCCTGGCCAATCTCAAGCTCCTCGATCCCATCCAAACCTCTGGTATGACAGGCCCGAAGCTTCTGCTCAAATTCATCTATTACAGCCTGGAGGGAGAAAGGGAGATTAAGAGCAGGCCTGAAAACAGTTACTTCTGATTAAAAAGAAACAAGGCCATGGAAGACATGGAGGGCCTTAAATGCACATTACGAAGAAGGCAAGCTGAGAAGGCTCCATGCTGGATCGTTCCAGTGATACATTCTGGAAAAGACAAAGCGATGGCAACAGTAAAAAGATCGGGGGTTGTGAGGACAGAGGGATAAATAGGTGGAGTGCAGGGGATTTGTAGGGCAGTGAAACTCTTCTGTATGATATCGCAGTGGTGGGTACGTGTCATTACGTACAGTGAACCCCAATGTAAACCATGACTTTGGGAGATGAGGTGTCAATGTAGGTTCAGCGTAACAAATGTACCTCCCTGGTGCAGGATGTTGATGGTGGGGAAGGCTATGATGTGTAGGAGCAAGGGGTAGATGGGGACTCCTTGTACTTTCTGCTCAATTTTGCTTTGAACCTAAAACTGCTCTGAAAAAGAAAGAAAAATTAAAACAAACAAGAATCGGATGAGACGCTGCTTTGGTTGTGTTTTTGGAGTAATAAAAAAAGAACTGGAGACAGAAAGATCTGGTCTTGGGTCACTCTGGCAATTTGGTTGCAACCAAGCTGGGGATAAGTCGGACGGGAACGTTACTGCGAGAGCTGGATGCGGCCCAGGGTCGGCAGATGTCTCAGCCAGCCCGGATCCCGACAGGCATGGAAGTGTCCCGCACTGCTCACCTTGCCCTCAGGCTTGGCCCAGCGTCGCAGCTTGCCCACAACTGACAAAAAAGCACTGAAGATGGACTCATCTGACAGTTTGTCTCCAAAACAGTCAAAATTGTCAAGCATCTTGCGGAGGCCTCGCTCTGTGAGGGGCAGTTGTGACACGCAGTAGGCCAGGTCTCGCTGCTGCCGCTCAGTTCTGCAGACAGGAAGGGCTTTGTGAGGAAGTGCGAGATCCAGCCAGTAAAGGCTCAACCTTCCCCATCAGCCTTCCCAGTCCCAGGGATGCCATGGTGCCGGCAGGGAAGGGGTGGGGGATGGACCTTTCTCCCCTGCAGGGCCCTGCTCAGCACAAAGAACCCTCAGGGAGGGCAGCGTACCGGGCTGTGCGGAACCGCTGACAGAGCTTTTCCACCAGGCTCTCTGTCTGCTTGTCCTTGGTGATGTAGGAGAGGAGCTGTCTGCAGGAAGGGGAGATGAGGATGTGCGATGGCCCAGAGCCAGCTCTGCCATCCACTAAGACCAACC